CCGAATTCAGCTCATCCCTGCGGCTTTTATGCTAGTGAGGTCATACAGTAGCAAAACACCCTCACCCTGTGTAAGAGCTGTGAAGTGCTTCAGGTAAAAATGGAATATGATACGCATGTGTTACACGTTACTGGGTGTTTTCCCTGACAGGTAGTAGGTTAGATAAGAGAAGCAGGTTTGGGGTGATTATTTTGTAATTCTGAGTTTCCCCCCATCTCTCCTACTCTATGGTGTAATTACCAGCGAGGTTAATTCCTTGCCAGAGCGGGGCAGGGCTGCTCTGCCGGGGAAGAAACGCCTGGGAAAAGCTGCTGGATAGAGATTGGGCCTCCAGGGCTCAAAGCAAGCCTGGTAGAGGTTGTTGGCTAAGGCTTGGTGGTAGTAAAGGACAGACTGACACTGAAACTAAAGTCCCAAGTCACTGTAGTTCCTGTGGTTTGATTACTGGGTTTTTAATGCACGTGAAATGCTAAGCGAGGAGCCTTTGGGGGATTTGGAGCGTTGGCAGAGTGGAGCCGGCGCCCGAAGGCAGGTTTGGTGGTGGGGCGGTGGGGTCAGCGGGGATGCTGTCACCTGCAAAAGCCCGGTTTTGGAGGCGTGGAGCTCGCCTTGACGTGTATGGGAAGTTCTGCAGAGCAGAACCAAAAGATTTGGCCTCAAGATTCTTGAGTTTTGATTTGGCAGCCCAGGACCTGACAGAGGAACTGAACAGAGGCTCCTCTATGTGAGGAATTATGTCCGTTGGCTCTTCCTCTGCCATTGGTTGGGGTCTTGGGCTTCCCACCACATGCTCCAGGTTTCTCTTCATCCCGGTGTCTGGCAGTAGCGTAGCACCAGCATGTGTGTGGCTGCCGAACAAGCAGTGTTCCCTCATGCCAGAGTTGAAAAACTGAGTTTATACACTGGGATATGGACTAGCCCGGTGGTGAATTATGAGTATTCTTGTTTTGCCAGCCCCTCCAGCACTGCTCTGTCACCGATGACTGCCAGTGCAGTCCGGACCTGGGCTTTTCTGCTTGGGACACCCAGTCCGTGGGGTGTGCAGAGGAGGAGACCTTATTGCCCTCTACAACTGCCTAAAAGGAGGCTGGAGTGAGGCTGGTGCTGGTCTCTTCTCTCTAATTCCTAATGACAGGACAAGGGGAAATGGCCTCAAGTTGCGTCAGGGTAAGTTTAGGTTGGATGTTCGGAGGAAGTTCTTTCCTGAACGAGTGGTGAGGCACTGGAACAGGCTGGCCGGGGAGGGGGGGGGGGGACCAA